TTTCGATATTGCTATAACATGTTGCAAGTAATTAAAGATGGTCGCCTTGATAAACCAATAAAAAAATTATAAGGAGCCAGCTAATTATAGCCGCACGCGTGTCATCAAACGGCTTTATTGCCGCAGGTAAACAATGACGTCACAACCCCGCGAGCCGATTATTGCCACCTGTCAGTTTTATGACACCAAGGTGTCCTTTGATCAGGCGCCGCGTAAATTTCGCCAAGCAAACAACCAGACAAGATAAACGGCGCTTGACCACGTTGAGAAACACCATTGAAGTAGGATGGTTGCTATGGTTACCATACACTCGGACCCTGTATTGTAAATCATCAAAACACCATATCATGAGCTGCCCTTACATTTTACTTGGCAACCTTGCAACATTATAACTGCCAATACAAAATGTACACTCAAAACTTTTCATTTACTCATTTCAAAATCCCCCTCTACTTATAGGGCTGGTAAGTAGGTCACCAACCAGTTCTACCGCTCAATAAAACCTGCATGAGCCATAGAACTGGTTGGTGACCTACTTACCAGCCCTATTACACACAACCTACGCACATCCTAAAAAAAACTCACCTACCAACAGTTAATTTTTACCCCATCCCTTCAAAAACCACACATCACCCGGGCTATTGTCATCTTAAGTTCCCACAATGGAATCCCTAAGGCGGTACGCTATTGTTAGCCCCCCCCCCCCCACCAAAATAAAAATCTCCATGATAGTTATAAGTGCAAAGGTCAGAGGTCCTTTCTGGGTTATTGTTTGCTCCCCCCCCCCCCCACTCCCCTCACATCAAAATGTAATCAATATGACCGATATAAATACAATGGCCGTTGATGTTACCTCGGCTGTAGTTGGCCGCCACCCCCCCCTCCCCCCCCCCCCCCGGGATGTAATCTAACTCAGCTGGGCTTTCGTCTCCCCCCCCCCCCCCCCCCCCCCCCACACCAGAATTTAATCTAACTGACCTGGGCTTTTGTCTGCCCCCCCTCCCCCCCCCACACACACCAGAATTTAATCTAACTCACTTGGGCTTTTGTCTGCTCCTCCCTCCCCCCCACACACACACCAGAATTTAATCTAACTCACCTGGGCTTTTGTCTGCTCCCCCTCCCCCTCCCCACACCAGAATGTAATTTAACTGACCTGGGCCTTCGTCTGCTCCCCCACGAGAATGACGTCCCTGGTGGCATCATGGATGGGGATGTCGGAGATGTAGATGCCCTTGCCAATCAGCTCGTCCAGCTTCTCCACACTCGGTGACCCCAGGAACAAGATGGAGTCCGTCTCTTGGAGAAACAACATTTGACCTTTCAACTCCAGGCTCTGTGGAGAAACAACATTTGACCTTTCAACTCCAGGCTCTGTGGAGAAACCAGCAGGTTTATGGTGTGTGGTGATATAGGTGTGGGGACAAGATGCTAGTGTGTGGGTACGAGTTATTATCCACACAAAGATAAGTATTTGTAAGGAACCCAAATGGTCCGAAACAATGCTTTCTATTTAAAAGTTTAAAGAGTATAATCTATCTATATATATAATTCTCTTCTTGGACACGATAGAAAACACCAAGCTGTAAGCGCGCTCACTACCACTCCCACCCCTACATGGTCTGGTGAGCTGTGGTTCACGCTAAATGTTTACAATCGTAGGGCCGGGTTTAGTGACGGCTATTAGGGGCAGATAATTTCGTTTGAGTGGGTGGCGGGGGGGGGGGGGGGGTTATCGTCCATAACGACCTACTGATAGTGTTTTAAAGCAAATATTTTTCGTGACAGCACTGGTACTGTCGAATTCACAAATTATGAATTACTGAAAAATAGAAAATAAAACAACTAAATAGCAGCATATGATACGCCGCGGGTCGGCTCGTATCGTATTAAACCAATAGATAAAGTAGAGTTAGACAAAACTCGATATTTGAAGGCAGTGTGTGATCAGCACTAATTTCAGCCGTCTTCACTTTAACCCACTAGTGTATGGTACCGATTAGAGCTGAGTGGACTCAGATACACCTGGGATCTTGTACTCATAAACCGATATCCAGATAATTCGTTTAGTAATATCGCTATCTACCTCTCGGCTACACCGCCTAGAAGGTATATAGGTGTATTTATCTTTACTTGTTGCCTGACAAAATATCCCTTACTTATAATGGTTAGCAACAAAACAGGTAAAATGTTTTGCCTGTGCTATCACCTTGTATGTACACATACATGAAAATGCGACATATTAAAGTAAACCCGGCTTTTAATATCAATTTAACGATGTGTTACCAACCATGGTGCTTTAAAAATCAATGTAACCCGTGTTTATTTATCTATATTCTTTATCATTGAATACAATTTCAAACTAAAAACAAGTTTACAGTTGTATGGTATAGTACTGTTCATTTTCTTCAAAAGTAAAGTAGTTACGTGGGGCATTGTTAAGTCGTCAATAGTTGAGTTATCCTCGATACAAAATGATTTTGGCATACCTATAGGGCTGGTAAGTAGGTCACCAACCAGCTCTACGGCTCAATAAAACCTGCATGAGCCATAAAACTGGTTGGTGTCCTACTTACCAGCCCTATAAGAAACCAAAAATGCTACTGATATTGCTATATATATTAAAATATTTTGTTCACAATTACAAAAGATCATTGCATCAAAAGCAAGTTTATTGAGTGTCATCGACATTCTAAATTGCGGCTTTCTTTTTAAAAAAAAGTTCATCTTTTGTCATGAAAAAAAAAATACGTTTGGTATAGGCCTACTTGTCTTCTGGTAAGAATTGTCGTAACAAAATATAATGAAAATATTATGAACGTTAGAATGAAATAGCCCTTCCTGTGCTGAAGTCCGAAAATTGTCGTTCGGAAATTCTTGTTAGCGTAGGCGTTTGTTCGGGGGCGAGATGGAATGTGTGGGGAGGGGGGGGGGGAGGGTAATCTGGGTTATTAAACGCCATTTTTCGAGATAAAGATTCTGGAATCGTCTGGAAAGGCTGACCAATACCTCGTATAATGTACTAAATTTTCTCGGGACATTTTAGGGACAAAAGAGATGAATAGTAAGTCTGCGGCGTAATCTAGTAGGAGAGGGGGGGTGGGGTGGATATCAGGGAATATGGAGATGGATAGGCCCAGCATGAATATTGTGATCGAATGACCAGTACTAGATCCATTCTGGATGGAGTAACCAGGAGTGGTGATTATGGTTACTTTATTGTTAATAGCATAAATTATGATAATGATGATTAATTTTTGGTGGTACACTAGGATGTCAGTAGTTCAAAATTACGAAGCTATCGATATCAAGGAGTCTTGTGGTAAGATTGTTATCGGTTTGTTTACTTAAACTTAACAACAAATCGTCTGTGTTGTTCACAAACTGTAATATTTGAAGAGGAAACGTGATTTGAACTATATCTGAATACAGGAGTGTTTACTAAACGAACAGCACTGTATGGTCCATGTGATTTGAGCTAGTAAAGTTCATGGGCAATTTCCTCAGCATGTTAAGAGATAGTGTGTTCAGTACTATGCCCATCCGCCTTTACTTTACCTAACGTAAGACATGTACCCATCAGAGCTGGGTGGACTCAGAGATCCGAACTCGAATCTTTCGGGTTAGCAGTCGAGCGCTCTACCGTTAGACCAGGCTTTCCTATGTGCTGTATGTTTTTAAAAGATGGCCACCGTAGCAATTTTTAATGTGTTATTTGTGACGTAGTTGTGTTATTTTTTTTCAGAATACGGATCTTAAACACAGTGATAGAATCGAAATCGGTTTCTATCTTTTTTTTGATCTGCGGTATTATTTCGATCTGTGGACTTCATTTGTCAATTTTGGAAAAGATTAATTTTTTTTTTTTTTTTTTTTTTTAAAAATATTAAATATGTGATAGAATACAACTGCCCTGAAAACTAACATTGAACAAAACGTCAGATTAGCAACTTCATAAATTACGTGTTTAATAAAGCTAGTAGTTTCTATTTTACTGTATAGCTTAAGGTTATTTCTAACGTAAGAAATACCAGGTGGAGATCAAAATTCTTATACAAATTTTAAAAGTTTTGTAAAAATAAAAATAAATAATGATTTCCAGTTGTTGTTTTTTTATTTAAAATTTTATTTGTTTGCACTTTTAAGACATTTGGGAACAATAGTTTGGGTTATATACCATTGTCAAATGAAATCTTTAAATGGGAGATAACCAGCAAAAAGTAGCATTCAAAGTAAAACTATTCTATTTTTCAACGCTGCGATTTGTTTACATCTATTACACAATGATGTGGTACATTATTATATTGATTATTGAAAACAGAATTTACAATATAAAAATACAAAGGATTTAATTGTAATGATTAATATAATAATGTATCACATTATTTTGGACCTCTCCAAAATCTCATTTAACTAACCAGTCTCATTCTTTAAATTGTGTTTAGAGGTCATTTGCTCTTAGTGTGTGTTGAATGTCGCTCTCAACTCAGAACTCAAAACTTGATGGTCGTGGATTGGGAGGTGCCAGCTTTTAAGTTTAGTACAGTGAGCAGATCATGACGAACGATTGGAAACCATTGTTGAAACCAGAGTCGATTTCGAAAATAAAGCCATACTAAAAATGCAAATGAACCATACTTTAATCACCGTTAAGAAATAGTGTGAATTATTGCAAGATTCACTTAACAAACAGAAACAGTTTTGTGTTCAAGATTCCGTATCAAAAGTCACATATTAAACATCCATCATTAGAAATGCGTGGTCGATTGATAGAGTGCTTCACTGCTTACCAGAAAGTCTTGAGTTCAACCCCAGGCTTAAGTCAGTAGTGCGTGCCTGAGTCCACCCAGCTCTGATGGGTACCTGTCTCACGTTATGGAAAGTAAAGGCGACTGGGCATATTAGTGGCTACACTATCCCTACACATGCCGATGTCACTGAAACAGGTGAACTCTACTTCAATTGCCTCATACAGTTTGAAATGGTACTTTATAAGAAATGTTAAAATATTTCTAGCCGTAGTAAAATGTAAAATGTTCAATTTTAGTTGGAAAATATGCTTTCTGGCAACAACCAAGTGGAACCATTAGGAACCAGATTTTCCTACCTATTGCAGATTACAGAACGGCAATCCGTCTACGTTTCGTTTTCACAACCACATTTCTTAACAAACAAAAAAAAACACCTCCCATTCATACCGTTGAACTGTTGTGTTGTTACTAAAAGAGATAAAACACAAGAAATGCCCAGTGTAGAAGGCACGGAGAAATGCCCAGTCAACACTCAGGCTATAAACGTAAAGCTGTCTGTCTCGGTCAGGGAGAGTGAAATCTATTTTCTAAGCGACCAGCCATGGGGCGCTTTGTTGATCTTGTCAGTCTGGCGGTACTAAGGCCGGCACTGACCTAGTTAAAAGGTCAAGGTCGTTTGGGTGGGTTGAGTGTGATGAGGTGACTCCGAGCTTGGTCTAAATGTTGGCCCGGGTCATGATAAATGCCCGAATTGTGGCCATGGCCATGATAAAGGCCCGAGCTGTGGCCAGGGTCATGGTGTGGGCCCAAATGTTGGCCAGAGCCATGATAAAGGATCAAATGTTGGCCAGGGTCATGCTTTTGGCATAAATGTTGGCCCGACCGTGGTTTAATCTCAAACATTGGCCAGAGTTATAAAAATAAGTGGGGTTGTCTCGGCCCAGATGTTAATATGTAAAAGTAAAGTTCCTCGTTAGACCTAGCGATCCATGGGACAGGTGAAGCAGTGTTCTTGACCTCAGCATATGACGGGATAATGAGCTCAGCACTATGCCCAGCCGCCTTTACTTTCCCTAACATGAATGAGGTACCCATCACAGCTGGGTAGGCTCTGGAACGTTCCACTGACTTGAACCCGGATTCGAACTCGAAACTTTCGATTTAGCGATATACCGCTAGACCTAAATGTTGGAAATTATGTTATAAAATATGCAGAAGCATCGTCGTCGAGGTAAAAGTACTAGTAGAGAAGAGTTCAAGATTCTATTCTGCTTCAATTACTCTACCAAATGAACCGGAACGTTAAATCGTTCGGTTCAGCTGTACTCAGCTTAGGTCAACCCGACCGTAACTCACTTGCCACAAGTAAAATTAGTTACAAGTTGACATCAATACTGAAAGGAGGGGATTTAAAAACACCAGGTTCAAGGTCGAAAAAAAAAGATGAGAGTTGGTGCGAAAAAATAGGGAATCCATTTGGAAGTATTGCTGTTTTCTGATTGGTCGGTTAAGTTCGTCTATCGACGCGGACTGGCTTGTGTTGGTATCTGATAGCAGAGTGAACCGAGGCTTTAGTAGTTCTTGGTGGATTGACTAGTTCTTGGTGGATTGACTAGTTCTTGGTGGATTGACTAGTTCTTGGTGGATTGACTAGTTCTTGGTGGATTGACTAGTTCTTGGTGGATTGATAAGTTCTTGGTGGATTGATTAGTTCTTGGTGGATTGATTAGTTCTTGGTGGATTGACTAGTTCTTGGTGGATTGACTAGTTCTTGGTGGATTGACTAGTTCTTGGTGGATTGACTAGTTCTTGGTGGATTGACTAGTTCTTGGTGGATTGATAAGTTCTTGGTGGATTGATTAGTTCTTGGTGGATTGACTAGTTCTTGGTGGATTGACTAGTTCTTGGTGGATTGACTAGTTCTTGGTGGATTGACTAGTTCTTGGTGGATTGACTAGTTCTTGGTGGATTGACTAGTTCTTGGTGGATTGATAAGTTCTTGGTGGATTGATTAGTTCTTGGTGGATTGACTAGTTCTTGGTGGATTGACTAGTTCTTGGTGGATTGATAAGTTCTTGGTGGATTGATAAGTTCTTGGTGGATTGATTAGTTCACTGGTGGATTGACTAGTTCACGGGGGGATTGACTAGTTCTTGGTGGATTGACTAGTTCTTGGTGGATTGACTAGTTCACTGGTGGATTGACTAGTTCCTGGTGGATTGACTAGTTCTTGGTGGATTCACTAGTTCACTGGTGGATTGACTAGTTCTTGGATGATTGACTAGTTCACTGGTGGATTGACTAGTTCACGGGGGGATTGACCAGTTCTTGGTGGATTGACTAGTTCTTGGTGGAGTGATTAGTTCACAGGTGGATTGACTAGTTCTTGGTGGATTGACTAGTTCTTGGTGGATTGATAAGTTCTTGGTGGATTGACTAGTTCTTGGTGGATTGATTAGTTCACTGTTGTATTGACTAATTCACTGGTGGATTGACTAGTTCTTGGTGGATTGATTAGTTCACTGGTGGATTGACTAGTTCACGGGGGAATTGACTAGTTCATTGGTGGATTGACTAGTTCTCCTTGGATTGACTAGTTCTTGGTGGATTGATTAGTTCACTGGTGGATTGACTAGTTCACTGGTGGATTGAGTAGTTCTTGGTGGATTGACTAGTTCTTGGTGGATTGACTAGTTCTTGGTGGATTGATTAGTTCACTGGTGGATTAAACTTGCTCGCTGGTAGATTTACTAGTTCACTTGTGGATTGACCAAGTTCACTGGTGAGACTTGACTAGTTCACTGGTGGTATTTCACTAGTTCACTAGTGAGACTTCACTAGTTAACTTGTGAAGTCGTTACTAGTTCATGTAACGTCCAGACTACCTAATTAATTCCTATCACATTAAAAAAAAATACTAAATAGATCTGAAGATTCAAAAAATGTTCCTTTTTCTTTTTTTTTTGTGTGCCTTTAAAATATTGTTTTTATAAAGGGCTTGCACCTATTTTTAAGTTTATTGTACTGACCTCAACTTGAACGCGAACAATTCCCCCCCCCCCCACCCCCACCACACATGTGTCCATTTTGTCTGACACCCCACGAGTCTATGTGGGCGTCACGCATTAGTGAACATTACCCCTCGGAAATAAAATGAGTGAATTATTGAATCCTAGAGTAGCCGTCCCTACCCTTGCGTTTAATCTAGCCAGGTTTCGTCTGTTATAAAAAAAAAATCGCTTAAGATAAATAATGTATTCAATTTTTAAAATCTCATTTTACAAAATGTTTATCCCATATAAAATTTTGTGCAAAACACATGATGGATTCATAACTTATAAATTATCGCATTTTAAAAAAGTTAAATCATTGAGAGTGTGGAAACTGGATGACACATGTCATCTATTAAATGTCACCCCCCCCCCCCCACAAGAAATGTGTAACTGAAGACATGTTGTGGCCACACCGCGAGTGTCCAGATTTCTCTACGTCAGCAGCCATTTGAAAAATTTTTATCGTGATAACAGAAGATCCGTTACACGCGTTCAAGTTTCAAAAAGTTTTTTTTTCTTTAATAGATTAAAATTGATTTACGTTCCCCCCTAAACACTTGTATTTAAGCCTGACACTGGAGTGTGATTTTAATTTAGTTTTAATTTAGTTCCTTCGCTTAGTATTAAATAACTGTACTGACTTCTTTAGCCTCAATAGTATAAATATAAAAAAAAAAATAAATACATAATTTTTTTTTTAAATATAGCAATGTATTAATCCCATTGTGTTGAGTTTCATTTTCTTTCTAAATTTGATATTGTTACGATCCCATAGGATCTTACCTTGTTTGGACATGGCTGAACGTGGGTTAATCAGGGTGTCATCTAGAGATTTATGGATGGGGGGAATTATAGACGTTCACCCCAGTTTTCGTTGTTCGGGCCAGCCCGTAATGAGAGATCACACGGACTAGCGCAGGAGGTCGTGAAAGGGACGAAGGGTGGGATGTTGTTGTTGAGTCATTGTTGATGCTAGCGGGTTACCTCCCTTCTTCCCCCCCCCCCTCCTTCTCACCTGGCTGTTGACGGGAGTTCCACCCAACAGACCTGGTATGTAAATGTGGGGGAAAAGCCGTGAAGGGATGCCCTATTGTACGAGAGGTTAAGTCAGGACATAGATCCCTGCACCTCGACTGGACTATATCAGGAGGGGTAGACAGCGGAACACAGACTAAGGGACACACACGGGGACACATACTCGGATAGTGAGAAGACAGACATGGAACGTCTCTGTGAGCTAAGGGCAAGCCACGATGTATCTGCACTGTGTTAGACTGAGATTTTAATTGACCGTTAGGGACACGTAGGGTAGTCGGACTAAGGACTTTTAGTTGTTGTAGATAGTTGTGTATTTTTCTTATTGTGTTCCATGTGGTGGCGGGTTAACGTTAGGTGTTGTATTTTTTATTCTGGCAATAAATAGAAATCAATGAGATTGGTGTTTATTTATTCTTAATTTCTTTTTCTTGTTTATGATTCCCTGACTAATTCGAAAGGATTAGAGAAGGGGGTCGTAACAATATGTAAAAACGTTACAATAATTATTACAAGATGGAGTTCCAGAGAAGCTAGCCTGGAAGATTGAGATGAGGCAAGAAGAAAATATTTTTTTATTTACTCTGGCGATAAATTTGGCACCAATCCCACGCGTGTTTGGCCACTGGAGCTATTGTTGGGACAACAAACAAGTTATCGTTCTTGGCTTTCCTGTTTGTCAACAGATAAGTTGGGCAAACTCCGCCCTAATTAGAGCCGGTGATAACACGGTTAATGAATGAGGAAAGAAAATATTGGTGCGGGATAAGTTGGGTGGGGTGTACATCATGGGCGGTTTCGTGCACTCGATGATTGGGTGACTGAATGCTTGGGTGACTGAATGCTTGGGTGACTGAATGATTGGGTGACTGAATGCTTGGGTGACTGAATGCTTTGGTGACTGAATGATTGGGTGACTGAATGCTTGGGTGACTGAATGCTTGGGTGACTGAATGATTGGGTGACTGAATGCTTGGGTGACTGAATGCTTGGGTGACTGAATGATTGGGTGACTGAATGCTTGGGTGACTGAATGATTGGGTGACTGAATGATCGGGTGATTGAATGATTGGGTGACCGAATTATTGGGTGATTGATTGGGTGACTGAATGATTGGGTGACTGAATGATTGGGTGACTGAATTATTCGGTGATTGATTGGATGACTGAATGATTGGGTGACTGAATGCTTGGGTGACTGAATGCTTGGATGACTGAATGATTGGGTGACTGAATGATTAGGTGACTGAATGATTGGGCGATTGATTGGGTGACTGAATCGTTGGGTGACTGAATCGTTGGGTGACTGAATGAATGGGTGACTGAATGATTGGGTGACTTAATGATTGGGTGACTGAATGATTGGGTGACTGAATGATTGGCTGACTGAATGATTGGGCGGCTGAATGATTGGGCGACTTAATGATTGGGTTACTTAATGATTGGGTGACTGAATTATTGTGTGATTGAATGAATTGGCGACTCAATTTGTATTAAGGTCCACAAGTTATTTTGAAAATAAAAATATATTCTTATAGTAATGTATTTTTTAAATACCGCGTTTACATTTGCAACATGTATGCTATACATATTTAGGAAAAAAAAACAAGTATATAAATTCATGATCCGTGGGAAGTGTTTTCATCTAACATTGACATTTTGCGAGGTTTTTTCTAGACATGTATAGTATACATGTCGCAAGTGTAAACGTGGTATAAAACAACGATTAATCTGATCTAACCAGAAACTTACATCAGAAAGACGGTGTTTGTCCTTGGTCAATCCCTTGGTCCGAACAACAAAACTCGAATTGACCCTGGACAAGATGGAAGAGAAACTGAACTTGACCGGGGGCTTGACGATGTCGAAGTACGTGGACAAATCCTTGCCCTTCGACGTCACTTCCGGTGAAATCATCTTGGCCAAGGACACGCCCAGCTGGGTTATCTGGAGGTCCGCGTCAAAGATGACGTGGAAAGGAAACGATGCGCAGAAGGTGTGCACCCCTATCTTGGAGTCGGACGGATTCGTTGAGAGCTGGCTGTGGTGAGGGAAGATGTTGTCCATGCTGTTTTCGTTGTTGTCGTTGGCGGTGGTGATGTAGAAGATGTGGTGGGGGGCGCCGCGGTCGCGGTTGGCCGAGATCTGGAGCTGGACCTCGGTCTGGAAGAGGAAGAGGGACACGGACTCGACGGTGCCGGCCACGAAGCTGAGGATGGCGTGACGCAGGGAGTAGTAGTGGAGGCTGAGCTGACCCTTCTGCCAGTCGCACCGGAAGGAGGGCGGTGGCTGGCCCTGAAACCTGGGGTAAGACTTAACCTGAAAGAGAAGAAATTATATTTTTTTCCTTTAGATTAATACGAAAAAAATATCCTTTTAAAATATCAGTTATTTTAACCTAACTAAAAGCTAGTATTTACAATTTTACTTTTTATAAATATAATAGTTCTACCCCGCTCTATTTCTATATTGTTGATAATGTTCTTCTTCAAGAAAAATTTACTGTGAAACAGGTTAGTAGGAAAGACTCAGAGATAGAACTTCGGAGAACTGTAGTAGGCGGCCGATACACCAACAAGAATGGCGGATGATGAGGAAATGTTTTTACAAAGCAGAAAAAAGTTTGAAGCTTTTATGACCAGTATTTGTATTTTAAGTATTTTAAGTTAGTAGGTTTGGTTCATAGTATTTAGCAAATTTAAAACTTTAGTAAAAATGTCGAATGTTTTTTTTTCCATATTTAAAATCTCAAGGTTTCTACTGAACATTTTATTTTAAAATCATTTTTAAAACGTTACCCAATACAGTAACTGTGTTGTTCTCATAATAGACCCAATTGTTCAAATACATTTTTTCAACTTTGATTCTTTATTCTGTGTAGTTCTTTCTTGAGAGCATTATATTTATAAGGACAAATGTTTTTCTATTTATTTTATTTTTTTTACATTTAATAAGATTTTAATAATAGAAACCACAAAGAATAAAAACTAAATGACATTTAAAAATCGGAAATCGATTCAGAGATTTCAAATTCTATTTAAATATAACAAAAAACAAATTTTGTTTTGTATTCATGGACTAAAAATAGTTTCAGATTTCTGATACATTCAGCTATTGAGCAGGGTATAATTTCAAAATAACAATAGTCGCTAGTGTATGATGTACCTTAGGAAGCTACGCAGGAGCTGGATATAGGTACCAGTATACGGAGAAGTGGGTGGTTGTGATATTATATGTAAAACTTGAAAATTCAGTGCCTTAAAATTTGTATTTCAATAACAAATTTTGTCTAATTTTAGAGCAATGATATATAACTATAGTTGTTTGAGTGTTGTGACTTTGTATGCATTAATAGGATGTCGTTATGGACCACAGGACTAACATATAAACAGAGTTTCTTCCAGGGGGAGGTCCGCCGAAAAAAGTCTACTGCCCCCCCCCCCCCCCCACCCCTCGAACGAAATGGAATTTAAATAGAAAACATATACTGTTACCAACGTCCACCCACCCTCCCCCCCCCCCCCCACACACACACACCCCGGAGAAAAAAAGTCTGGAAGAAACACTGCATATAAACCTTTGATATCAGCATGCTACGCAGTCTTGACTTCATATGAAGCTTTGGAATGCCAACACATATTATGAAGTCATGTAGTTTTATATTAAACTTTGGAATACCACTATAGATCTCGGAGTCACGTGACTTCACATAAAATCAATTCTGGGATACCCGCCATAGATCACGTGCCCCCGCCACCGATCACGTGCCCCGACTAACGTGATACAGCAATTGTCGGGTATTTAAGACCGGAAGTCAACTAATGCGCATGCGCCGAGGCTTCCAACAACAGCCAGTCTACAGTGCTGTGCCCCACGACGAACTAGACAAACATCAGTTAAGAGCTTTCCTGTTTTGCTAATGTCGTCACTTCCACCATCCCCACCCCCTAGATGTTTTTTCATCTCCCCTGCACCTCGTCTACGTGCTTCGGCACAAGGACTTCGTCAGAGTGACAGTACCTGGGACATGTTGATGTCGACACTTTGAGGGTATCGATTACACCAGGAAACAATTGAACTTTTAACATTTAACACGAAGTATCGACCGTGTGTTAGTATAGTGTGTTTAAAGCTCTAAATGATTTTATAAATTGGATAAGTAAATAAAGTAAAATAGTCGTTTGATAAGTGGGGTGGGGGGTGGGTCGGTTTGTGTGGGGAGTTGGGTCAAGTGAAGTTTAACAGATCACTGAATGGATTACATTTGTGATGTGTGAGTGGGTGGTTTAGGTAAACATGACGAGACAAAGGGATGTAACTGATACGAAACAATGCAGCGGTGTTACGTGTGTTGATTCACGTGATGTTGTTTGTTCATCGTTGTTGCATTCAGATGTCTGAATTATTTTTTTTATCTTTGGTATAGTTCTTTGTTTTTAATTCTTTGTCAGATATAAATCTGAAGCTACGCTCCCGCACGCGGGAAATTCAATGCATGTAAACTATGTTGTACATAAAATAGGTTGTAAGAATGTCTCTTCCGTACTTGAGTCCACCCTAGACTTTTTAAATTGGATAAGTGTGATGCCACAAGGTCACGTTAAGGTCATCATAAGAACATCAGAAAGACACGACAGAATAAAAACAAATTCACCAGAATGTCACCGCAAGATCACTACAGTATCACCACAGGATTACCGCTATTTCATACAAAGTTACCATAATGTCAGACAAGGTAACAACAATGTCAACGCAAGGTTACCATTATGTCACCAGAAGGTTTAGATACTCTTACTGCAAGGTTTCCGCAATGTCACCGTAAAGTTGCCACAATGTCACCGAAAGGTTACCAAAAGGTCACCACAAGGTTAAACAAGGTCTTAACACGATCACATCAAGGTCACAACGAGGTCATTGTATTGTCACCACAAAGTCACCACAAGGTCACCACAAGGTCACAAAAAGGTCATCACAATGTCAATGTATGAAACAGATGCCCCTCACCTGGTCCTGTAGACCGTCTATGTTACTGAAGAACTCCAACAAGTTGCTCCCCAATATCTTGAGAGCCTTGCCGTAGTCGCCCAGACAGAGTTTAAAATATTCCCGGCCCAGAATCCTCAGCACTTCCTGTAGCTCCATACCTGGGGATTGTGTGGGGAATTAGGATAAATTCTCATCAAGGAAAAGGGATAAGTGTTAAAACGAAATATAAGCAGTAGAACAATAGTAGAGCAAGGATTAACAGTAATCTAAGAGAAACTGTGGGATTGGTGAGAGGTTTTGTGTAAGTTATAAAAATAATTGCAATCACCTAAAGTATGTTTCCATAAATCAGGAAATTTAAATAATTTAAAAAATGTTAATGTTAATTACAAAAACTGATTTTATATGCAATACTCAAATATGTTTTAAAATCATGGAGTTATATAAAAGTAGAAGAATCAAATTTAGTTTATTGAAAGCAAATATTTTACTGTAACACGCCCACTGTTAGAGACGAATTTTCATTTGAAACATTTCAAAAGTAATAATCTAAGATACTTTTTGTTATGTGGACGCTATATTTAGATAGAGGAGGAGCAGCTGTAACACTAACAGCTGTCAGTTTGGTAAGAATTGCTCTAATAGAATGGGAGCAGGTTGGCCATAGAACTCGCAGCCGAAGTTTGTAAAGTCGGTAGCAGTTACCTTTCTCAGTACTTACGGGTGAAGGGAGGGGCGGTAATGCAGTGTTGATGAGATGGGAGATAACACCTGCGCTTATCAATGGTGTTTATTTAATGACGATTACGCTAAAGCTGGTGACGTCATTGTAAACAGTAAAATGTTACTAGTCACGAAAGTAACTTTTAATCAGAGTATCTTATTTCTTCTTCTCTCTTCTCCGTACTAAATGGTATAATGGAATGTTCATCCAAACCAATTAAGTATTATATGTTGACATGTTAAGCAACATATGGTAGTTAACTCCAATTTCAGCCTTATTTATTTTCTAGATAATATTAAATAGTCATAGTTCGCCGCAGAACAAACTGCAGAGCAGGAGTTATTTGATATTGGAGTATTCTCTTCAAGATGGGTTGCTGCCCCCAACTAACTGTCCTCATCTACCCGGGGATCCGAACTCTCGACTTTTGATGTCAGCTATCATACGCTATCCCACACGACCACCCCGTCATCTATATCTTATTTATTTTGTATATTGCTGTTTTTAATTCAAAGTATGCGTCGCTTATGAATGAACATTTTTAACATAAAAAATGTGACTTCATATTTCTTTATTCACAAAAGTATCACCCTCTTAACCCACGTCAAACAAAATCGACAGAACATTTCTCTAACCACTTTGTGATGATGTCATTCATGAACTCCCCCCCCCCCCTTCCCACTTTCCTCTTTAGAACTATCGATAGTTATTTCACGACAAAATCAGTTTAAGGAAAAAATCAATTGTTCATTGTTCAGACAGGACCAATTTCGATACCAAAAAAAGACGATTTTCTGTGTAGGGTATAATTCTCTCACCCCCTCAGTTTCAAATTTTTCACTTTTAAAAAATTTTGAATTTAGAAAACTATTGCCAGACTGTATTAAGTTCTGGGGGAGGGGTCGGTTAGGATTAACATGACAAGAAAATGGCGTCGGTACAAGATTATCGAAGGGGAAAGTGGCATTGATTGCATTGATTTGGGCGGCACTCTTTCATTGGATGAGCCTAGCGCGGATTCATCAGACATTTTCTATGATGGCTGAGTGATCTAAGCCATTGGATGCTAGCGATGAATATTTTTTTAAAGTTCCCTTCTGAACCGTTTGGTCTATTGTGTAGATGAAGTAGAGTTAACCTGTTTCAGTGACCTCCGCATATGATGGAATAGTAAGGTCATTACTATGCTCAGCCGCCTATACTTTCCCGAACATGAGTGAGGTACCATCAGAGCAGCTATAGGTGAATATTCGAGAACATTCGAGTAACATATTGACAGATCCATATTTTATTCATACTTACTGAGTTTGCCGGCCGCTTCTGTTGCCATAGCAACCAGAGTCTCGTCGCTGATCGCTTCGTGGCGCAGGTTCGAGTCGCTCTGGGAACGTTGAAGAAGCTCGTCAGAGAACAGCTCACTCGACTCGTTCCTGTGGCGTAGAGGGGGGGGGGGAAGTAATGGTTAATAGTTTTAAACATCTGGTAGGTGTTTTTTTTTTAAATGTAGAACAGCATTTGATTAAGTTGAACCCCCCTCCCCTACTCTAAAAATGGTGTTATATTTCTATAGACCACCACCCTTATACTTATACAACGTATCACATAACCCCCACTTACCCACCCCTATTACTTTGTACATCTTCATTTGATGCCGCGGCAAAAATTGATTTTAGTTAAAAAGAAAATGTATGTCCGCTCGTAGTATAAATATATTTTTCCATCCTTTCTAAATGTTACAAGAAGTAGCAAAAAATATATTATTTATACGTTATGTAATATAGCTAGTCTACCGTATCCCAAAACGTTATAACACAATATAACAAAATGGCTATCCCATTAAATTGCATAATTTAATTTGCATTATCTCTAAACAGTCACTTTAGTAGTAAATTATTAATTTCGTGTACAAAACTAAATAAATAAATAAAACTAATCTAGTTTAGAAAATACTACACTACTAGATTATCATTTAGCAGTTTGCCGAGAAAGAATTATTTAGCCATTTCACAAGAAAATAACTGTTTAGACAGTAACCAACTTTACACTTGCTGTTAGCGACAAAATATCGGTTAAGCCATTTTTGCCGGAAAATACATTCTCATCGCATTAGTTTTTAGGGGAAAAAATGATTATAGGCCAATTTGCAAAGTAAACTTCATTGTCGGGCCGTACTGGGGAAATCACTACATTCACAGCAAGTTCACTGGTGAACAAATTACGTCAACAAATCAAAAGACATTTTTACAAGTAGAACAGAACAGATTCGTACAGAGGATTCGCCAGAACGGAACAGATTCGTCCGAACGAATCGCCAGGACAGAAGACTTAAAACGCCAGCGCACACAAACGCCGTAATTAAAAAACAACAAAGTCTGTTTCACAGCAGTCGATGGGGTTAAATCGTTATTGACTTGAGTTACTTTAAATCTAAGAGCGTCCAACTCCAGCAGATAAAAGAAAAACACAGGGACTTGTATAAGATGTTACAAGACGAATGGGTTTTTTCTGGGGCGGATTGCGTAATAAGATTGCTCCGGTAAAACTGGCAAGAAAATGTTATTTCCTGTTAAACAAATCTGAGAGAGTGATTTTTGTTTAAAAAAAATTATATTCACTATTTGGGGGGTATTAAATGGTAATTCGCTCCCTACGGCGTGTTCGATGAAATTCCGAAACACTAAAATATCTGAGATTAGTAGAGAGGGGGGACAACTCGGCTATTTTTCTAGAGGTAACAAAATACTAAAATGAAGGGTCAGAACGAATTGATGGGCGTAGAGGAAGTTTAGGGAGTCGAATGTTTGTGATGTTGTATTGATTCTGCTTGATATTATTTAAATTGCGCTCGGTGTTTTGTAGATTCTGTTTACTGTTTAGTATTCTCAACATGGGGCTTGATGTTACTTAGTTGTTTTTTTTTTTTTTTTTTTTTGTATATTCTAAATATTGTGCTGATGTTTCATAGATTGGGCCTTTTGCTATTTACATGTTTCTCTCATTATAATATGTTAAAACTTTCTTAGCTATACTTTTGCTTTCATTAAACATTCAATCGTAAGATACGAAGATGTAGCTGGTTTTTTAAATACTGTACGAAGTCAAATGTTCTGACAATTATTATATAACCCGGTTTTGAGATAAGCAGTAAAAGATTGTTTGGAATAGGTTAGATCTGATAGGAATTCCGTACATATATTTAGATGTAATTTTGGCATGTATTTGCGGACTTCTCAGTTTCTAAAAGAAACATTGATCAAAATACAGCACAAACATTGATACACATACCGTAAATTCTAACACAAACTTCGATCAACATACAACACAAACTTCGATCAACATAAAACACAAACTTTGATCAACATACAACACAAACATTGACCGACATACAACACAAACATCACCAACATACAACAAAAACATTGACCAACATACGCCACAAATATTGACCAACATACAACACAAACATTGACCAAAATACAACACAAACATTGACCAACATACAACACAAACATTGACCAACATACAACACAAACATTGACCAACATACAACACAAACATTGACCAACATACAACACAAACATTGACCAACATACAACACAAACATTGACCAACATACAACACAAAAATTGACCAACATACAGCACAAACATTGACCAACATACAACACAAACATTGACCAACATACAAACATTACCAACATAAAACACCAACATTGATCATCATACAAACATTGACCAACATACAACAAAAACTTTGATCAACATACCGTAAATTCTAACCTAAATATTGACCAACATACCGTAAATTCTCCAAGACCCGAGGGTTCCTCATGTTGATCAGGTTCTGAATGGCCCTCCTTATGTAGTAGTTCTGTTAAAGATAAATTAGAATGCTTGAGGGTAAAGCAGATATACAAACTCTAAATTAAGAGGCGCAAATAACCCACGTTTGTAACTAGCCAGTAAAAGTTATATCTCTATAAAAGACAAAATGTCAGTATGAACTAACTATGGTGATGTAATGTGTATGAAAGGTGTATACGTGGGACGGATCACTGCGTGTATGTATATATCCTGTAGCGAGACGCGAGGCCGGGTGTGTTGACGTGTATGTTGTTGTATGATGTGAACGAGGGTACAAGGGAAGCGACTGGTCGAGTGACAGTGGTTGTGTTGTGAGCGAGATAAAGGGGGGGGGGAGGAATTAATGCGGAGGACAGTTGAAGGTAGGGGTGAAAGTAGACAGGTTGATGTGGAACTGGAAAGGCGATTGAGTAAAATAAAAAGAGACTGTTATACCTAACCTTAATGGATTGTTGGTGTATTCTACAGGATTCCTAACGCCCTCACACTAGTGAAAGCTTATATTTCAGAAATCTATATAATACTTCTTGAATGTAATCATGCAACGGAGGTTAGATAAAGAAATGAGAATGTCGTGGGAATGTTTGTATGTATTGTAGTAAGGTTAGGGTGTGACCTTTTCAAAAGAGAAGTATCACCAAATCTTTAAATTAAATCTAATTTTGCTACGGTCAAGATACACAGATGTTTTGAAAAAAAAAAATTATGTAGTTTTTAAAAAATCGTTAGTTTTTTTTTTGGTGTAGCTGAGTCAAAACCTGGAAACCGCACATTAAGTTCATATATTTATGAGCATCAGCTTGAAACGGATTCGTTGATAAGACACCTTAAGTAACGCTGTTTGTGGGCAATAAACGTGCATCACCTTTAAAAACCAATGTTATAGAGCAGGGGTCTCCAAACTACGGCCCGCGGGCCGGATGCGGCCCGCGAAGTCCCCTCATCCGGCCCGCGGAGATCTTTCTGTCCAAGGAAAAAGCGTTTGTCGGGGATTGCTGAGGAACTTTTCCCAGAAAAATGAAAGACATACCTGGTAAACCTGGCCCCCGAACTGAAATTTGATAGTTAATGCGGCCCTCGGACTGAAAAGTTTGGAGACCCCTGTTATAGAGCTTCAGTTTACTTAAGGAGGTCAAAATGTCATTGACTAGAACAAAAATACAATCTCTAAACACATGTCTCACTTTGTAAGCCTTAAGCGTTGATATAAAACAACAAGCGATAATATTTCAATGTAAATGATAATTAATATTGATTTAAAACAACATCGTACCATCCCACACATCATAGTTAACAATAAAGTATGTCAAGACACTAAAAAAAAAACAACAATATTTTTTTAATCAATTTAGGTCGTGATAACGACGGTGTGGTTTATCTGCCCCTAATACAATTCCCTCTGCTCACGCTAAAGAGACAGCCATCGATTTCAGATCGTCATCAGTGACGTCACTTTGACAAAAATAAAAATTAAAAAAATAAACCGGGAGTGATCTCCCCTAAACTTTCTCGAATATTCTTATATAAAATAACAGGGGATGGGAACTCGGGCTATAGACATGATTTTTAATCCATTTTAAATACTTTAAGTTTTAAAAATAGAAAAAATATCCCGTAGACAAATTAATTGCACACCAAGTGAACGCCAAATAAAAAAGCGCATAATGGTGCGCAATATTATTAGTACTTTTAAAATTTACATTAGTTTTTTGAGAAATCGGAAGTAGCGTAAATTACTACTTCCAGTCAACGGAAATTACTCAAAATTTAACAGAAGGTAGAGAATTAGATCTTTTACTTACATGTGAAATTTCATTTATCTATCTGAAATAGTACTCAAGTTATAGGCTTTTGAAAAATTCAAAGTAGGAAAAGTACCACTTCCGTTTATCGGAAATCGCTCAAAAGTTGATACGGATCTACGATTTCGATAAAATACTTATATATGAAATTTCATCAACGTAGCTGTAACGGTACTCAAGTTATCGTGTTTACACACGGACAGACAGACACACAGACACACAGACAGACACACAGACATACGGACAAGATTGCAAAATTATGTTTTTCCGTATCAGTGAGGTGTAAAACGTCGAGATTTGTAAAAATCTCGATATTTTTTTTTTGCACGATTACAAGACTTTCTCTATACTTCGTATATACGAGAAAGTAAAAAAGGTTCGGCCTTTTAAGCGTCACACTCAAAGTGATAACACGAGAAATCCAATAAAACAAAATAGGGAGCCTTGAAGACCAGTAACTGTTCACAAGCGGTCATAGAATGGGTGATGTGCCCCTGGCTGTTTAGGTCAAGGTTTGAAAAATTTTAACAGAGCAACACCGTACAATTATATGTTGTCGTAAAGTTAGGAAACTAAACGTGCATTAAAGACATCCTGTAGCCATTTGTTCTAGTGGGTATCATCGTACTGGTGGTTTTATTTCGTTAAACTTTCTGCGTGCTGGTGGTTTTATTTCGTTAAAACATCCTGTAGCTGTTTGTTCTAGTGGGTATCATCGTACTGGTGGTTTTATTTCGTTAAACTTTCTGCGTACTGGTGGTTTTATTTCGTTAAAACATCCTGTAGCTATTTGTTCTTGCGGGTATTAGTATGTTAGTGGTTTTATTTCGTTCAAACTTCCTGTGATTTTTATAGCTCTAACCATCAGGCTTCAATCTTTAACGTCACAAATGTGTAAAGGATGCAATGATAGACTGAACAATATAACGTTAAATGTTTCGGTACCGGTCTGTTTATGACTACTTTTAGATTACGTTTACTAGTTATACATCTGATGTTGGGTGTATATGTGCCACTATTGTTTTAGGTTTACTTTTCATCATTACGAAACACCTGGGGTGTTTATGTACTGATAGTTTACGGAGATAGATTACTTTTTTCTTTATATAAAATACATGGGGTGTATATCCAAAGTATTGTCGATTACTTTTCAATCATTATAAAACACCCGAGATGTATACGTGAAGAATTTCGATTTCTTTTACATCTTTATCAAATGTCTGGGGTGTATTTGTCCTTATTGTTTTAGATTAATTTTCAGCATTATGAAACACCTGGGGTGAATGACCGCATATTTATTTCACGAGGTGGTAATGGCCAGGAGGTATATGTTACATGTGCGTGTAATTGGTTGAGCTTTACACAATGGCTGGGGTGAGGTTATTGAAGCGAGTAAAACATCAGATTTCAACAGATCGAGTGTATTTGGTTGAGTTTTACACAATGGCTGGGGTGAGGTTATTGAAGCGAGTAAAACATCAGATTTCGACAGATCGAAACAATACTTATTGATTGAACTCTCTTGTTTCAATACCTCAATGTCAGATTGCATTTAACCTGTAGCACTAGTAAAACCAAAACAATAGTTCTCAAATGTAATAAAAAATAAATAATTATTTTAATCAGCACTGCGCTACTCTATGTATAAACCAACCTCGCTTTCAATTAATTAAATGATTAATTAATTAATTGATGGATTAGACGTAAGGATCGCTGCCAGCGGTGATGAAATCAATCAACATGGTCTACCACAAACTCGTTCGACCACACACCTGATATCATGGTCTCCCACCTCGGCACGGCCAGGGGTCCGCCGCTGCACCGATTAAAGATTGCTCATACTACGTTCTATTTTTAGACGCCGGTGAGTAAATCCTAAGAGCGCGTGAGAAGCCGTCATTGAAGTTTCGGAGACGTCTTTTGAGCCTCGGTGAGAGGGGGTGAGGTAGGGGATTTATTTATTCTAGGAATCGTCTGGAGTTTTTTTTTCCGCCTGGTTTTAATTAATTGGGAACAACCGACTTGTGCGGGTGTGAAACGTGATGGAAGCAGGAAGTGACGTGTGTTGTTGTAGGCAAATAAATGAAGAAGACGTTGGGCTGGTTATAAACCCGGTGCGTCAGATTATTCTTGTCTGGTATTGGAATTATATTTTATATATTGGAATATAATATTTTATATCGCATCCGAATTTAGAAAGAGCTGAGAAATAGTGTAGGCGTAAGGTAGAACTCCCGACTGCTAACCCGGAAGTCGCGAGTTCGGATCCCGAGTTAGAGATTGCAGGAAGTCTATGAGTCTACACAGCTCACGTGTGGGGAAATAATGTGCCTGGGCCACACGATACCCCAGTATACAGAGGTTATTGAAACACATGAACTCTACTTCACCTGCCCAACGAACAGGAAAAGATGATGTTCCATAGAACTGCTTTGACAACCCCAGACACGACAACTCATAACATGATGTTACTCGACAGAGGGAAAGATGTTCGTCAGTCGGTCTAAGCTGGAGCTTAAATAGCTGTAGTCTACAGCCAACAGAGAGTAGACAAAATACGTTTTTAAAGGTCACTGAACATACGAAGTGAAAAAAATGTCTGTAGGGGTTCATCCATACAGAGCTGATTCAATACCCAGACTAATCGCAGGTTTGATGCTGTCTGCGTAAGGGCATGATAGGTTCAGTTACACAGGTTCAATAAAAAGGTTCAACAAAATGGATTCTACTAGACAGGTTCAGTAAGACAGGTTCCGCATTGACATTTTTTGGTGTTTAAATACAAAAATTGAGTGTCTATTAAATCAAAACCATCATTATTTTTGTAGAGTAGTTTATACTTCCGGTAAATATTGAGAATGATGGCTTTTAAAAGATTTTGTTTTACTACATCGCTCCTTTTCTTTTTGGTATTAAGATAAAAATAGTATAAATCGCCAATTCTTTTGGGATATTTTTATTCATTACTACATGGACAAAATGAAATTCATTTTTTAAAATTGTTATGGATTTTTAAAAATTATTTAGCTATGTAAAGTATAAATAACAAAAAAAAAATACATTGAATTAGCACAAAAGTGATAATCGAAGAACAGAGGACGAAATGTATACTATCTTCTGTTTTACATTGCAAACCATTCTTAAAACATCTTCGAGAACATCACATTATTTATGTCATTCGTTCTTGGCCTTTCTTATGTATTTC